CTCGATCTGGTCTCCCCCGCGGTGGCCCTGGCCGTGAGCCCTCCGCTCGGGCACGTCCCGGTCTGGCTGGGCTAGCCCGGCCACCGGCACGCGCGGGGAGCCACGCCGAGGAGGAGGAGGAGGAGGAGGAAGAGCGCGTCGGCTGCGGGAGCCGCGGTGACCGGCCGGAGCACTTGGCATCGCTTGCGAATAAAGTACACGAGTGATTTCCAAAGCGATCCGGGAACGGCCATCCTGAACTGGATTTAAATCCATTAAAATATAGCTCCCCAGAGAGTATGTTTTTCTACCTCTAGTGATTAGATCCCTTTTAAATCCACGGTTTTACTTGTGAACAACATGTTTCCACTGCTTTAAGTGTGACCCCAAGCTTAGCATGCTCTTGAGAGGCTTGGTTTCCCAACATCAGCTGTTCTACCTTGAAGAATACGAAAAAAATAAAACGTAAAACATGACAGCTCATTACCTGGTCCAGCCTAATTAACAGGCAACATTTTTAGGTTTCTCAAGCGAGGAATTTTAAACAGGGCTTTATGATTGTGAGATACCAGAGTACCCATAAATATTTTTAATTTTTCTTGGGGCCTTATGATCCACATAAGGAACACCCTCTATTTCTCCAAGACACCTGTAAAAATGTCACTGCTTCCAATAACCACCCTTCTACTGCAGAAACAAGCCCCAGATAACTAACATAAGATATTTTTTCCAGTTTCAGTGATGGAGGCCAGCAGTTCTGCTAAGGAGAGCAAGCAGTGCACTTTCAAGCAAGGCAAACAGGTAAGAAGGCCCCTTTGGGCTGACACAAGCTAGGTGGGGATGGTGGGACTGCCAGCTCCTAGGTGAGTCTGGTGATACTTTGATTTTTGTCACCTTTTTCCCCATAACAAATAGCCTTTACCAGCAGTTAATTCTGTTCCTGTTGTGCCCAGTGGCACTTCATTTAACTTTGTTATATTTTTTTCCTATTTTGGCTGATGTTCATGGAGTTTTGGTCTTTCTTTCCCCATGACCGGATTTTTTTTCAATCCGATTTCCTAAGTTGCATTAGTGGCGCTAGTGATTTTAAGTTTTCATTTAAGGTTTCCTTCAAGCCTGCTACACTGTGCTCTTATTCAATCAAGACTGCTTTGTGTGCTCTCAAAAGCATTCTGACCACACTTGTGATCTGCATTTTATCATAGATCCCCGAAATACATTTAACATGCATTTAAACTTTGCACCAAAAAAAAACATTCCTTTCTTCTGCCTTTCGTTATTATGCTTGTGTTTATAAGTAACTTACTGGTCTTGAAATTACATATTTAAATTCTTGTGCCGTGTGCTGCTACACATCTGTTTAAACCTCTGTGTAATAAATGGTGTATAAATATGATCTTTGTCTTAAAGCTTGTAAATACTTCTGTAATATGGGCAGATTAGAGCCCACGCATGAATGTGCAACTCGTGATTTGGTAACATTTCAAATATTTTTTTCAGAAGGAAGAAGTTTCAGAAAGGCAGCTGATGAATGATAGTCAGTTGGAAGCAGGTAACTGCTCTGGACTCATAATGGTGGGAAAATTAATGTTTTCTTTATTGACGTGATTTTTCTACACCAATTCCAGCTTTCTCACAAGCTGTTTAAATGCCTTCGGCAGTCACTTAAGTATTGGTCTTCTTGCACTGCTGAATCTTAGCATCATTGTGGATGGCAATATGTGGCACTAGTAATTGTTTTCATTTATTTATCTCACCTAAAGGTGAAAGGAAAACATAAATTGAACTGTGTTGTAAGGGAATGTTTTGCAGGTTTTTAATTTCATCCTCCATACTTCGAGGTTTTGTTTTCTTTCCAGATCAGAAACACCTAACATCACCCTCTCAACTGCGTTCATCCCTGCGCTCCCCAGAGAAAATAAGATCAGGGCTCACCAAAGGAGGGTACCGGGTGGTTTTCTCAGACAGCAAGATTTTAGACTCCTCCTCAGAGAGGGACATAATACAAAAGGCTGGTATTTATGATCTTGGCCAGGAAATGTCTTCTGCAAAGAGATTGAATTTGAATGACACAAATACAATTGATCCATGCAAGCTACCCAGCGACACGAGGCTAAGCAGCTTTGACAACTTTGACCATGTCTCCCTGACCTCAACTCCTCAGCACAAAGACTTTACGAAAAAAATGCAGAATGACAAAATCTGCATGGTCCACAAAGATTACAGCTGGAAGCTAGCTGGAGAAATGAAGACCTCCAGTGGAGGTGCATCAACACTGCACACCGAGGCAGGAAATACCAGCACAAGTCCCTTCAAAATGAGCTCAGGTAAAAAAGCATAAGGACTCTTCTAAACAGAAAATACACCACTGTATAGTGTACTTGCTCTCTGATATGGACATGAGTCCAATTTGTAGAGCAGACTATCCCTAAATAGCCAGATTACAAGAAGTCGGTGCCTGCAAAGGGATGTATCCTGCATGTTGCCTAAAATTGAGTGTCTGTGTTAAACTAAGCTGTCTTTTAACACTTAATATTTTTAATAGAGGTTTGCAGTTTACCTAGGAAGTCAGTGTACCTGTTCTCTTCTGAACTCTGCCTCAGTGGCTGCCCTTGCACCTGATGATCTTCAATGTCTTTCCCAGCAACAGGCAGCCAAACACAGATGCCTGAAGGTGTTTGAGTGACTAATTAATCTTAAAATTAACAGGACACTGGTGCTTAAATGGAATTAATCCCCTGTATAGCTTTGAAGACTTGTGCCTCAGTGTTACTGTCCTCTGTCAAGGCGCTTTTCATTCAAACCACTTTGCTGCTGCATCAGTCATTTCAGAGAGGAGACAAGGATAAAAATTTGGAGAAAATTGATCTACTTTGCTTTTTTTCTTCCCCACAGATCTGCACAGCAGCACATATCCATACCATAATTGTGCTCTACTAGACAACCATTTTTCTACTTCATCTGTAAGCTTCAATGATACAACATCGAAGCTTCACTCGTTGACAGCCGGCGTGTTACCGGAGAACTCACAGCCTGTAGCAACAAAACCAACAATGTTACCCATGATGCCTGGGAAGGTCAAAGAAGCTGCAGCCAGTAGGTTCTCAAGCTCTTCTAGAGAGGAATACAAGCAAAATGAGAGCCTGCATTCACTGATGTCTCCTAAACATTGCTTCAAAGACTCACATAAGGAGGCAAGTGTCGTATTTTTGTCATATTTGCTCTTCAGAAATGCTTATGTGAAAAATGGGGTGTTAACGTAGCATCTCTTAGTCAAACAGGCTCTGTAAAGAATAATACAAAACAGCTTATATCTTTTAAAAAGCGATAACTGCAGACAGACAGGTCTCAGGAAATTGGTTACATAAATGGGTCTGAAAGAGAGCAAGAGGTAAATCTAGGGACACAAGTGAAATTGCTGATAAAACACTGTAGAAAATGCCAAGTGCCTGATTTCTTTGTGTCCTATTGGAAAAATGCAAGTATAAACACCTGATAGATGCATCCAGCTAAGACAGGAGATGCTTGCAGATGTACTACACGCACTAATTAAAAGTAAGCAGCTTTGACTTTCTCTCATTAGTCTTTTTCCAGTGAGCTGAGTAATGGTCCTGGTATCACGGAAAGTCCCAGTCCCACCAGACCTGAAAAAGCATCCCACGTTACAGCTGTTCTACAGCAACTCCTGGAGTTAGTAGATTGTCACTGGGACGGATCTGGATCTCTTCTGTTTAACAAGGATTTTCTTGGTAAGCTTTTCAGGTATATGGAAACACTTTATCTCTCTGTTTTCTTCCAATTCATATTTAAAGGCAGGAATTTATATTTCCATGTGGCTTTTAGACTTTAAGAGCCTTGTTCTGCTCTCTTCAGAGTGATAATAGCTTCCCATTTTGTTCTAGAACATGTCTTATTTCAAAAATCAGTGTACTACTGACAGTATTTTTTTTTCATAGGAAAAGCTAATATTCAATTATACCCCTTCAGAAGTTATTGGAATTAGATGCTTTAGCATTTTCTGCACAGAACTTCCTGATTTACCTTTCAGAAGTAAATTTAGTTTACAGTCAGATATTTTTTGCAATGTAAAGATCATATTGAAGTTGAACATTTCTATTTGAAACACAAAAGAAAACCCTTGGACTGATTTTCAGTTTTCATAGAAGGTTTGAGATTCCGTTTTTTTCTGTTTAATTTGGAACCAGGAAAAAATCCAAATGGAAAAGCTTCCAGCTTTGCCCTAGTGTCATTTAATGATGAAGAAAATACAGTAATTTTATTTACTGATTTATTTATTTTGTTAAAATCTATTTCCATTTCCACAGTTCCAGCCCAAAACCTACTTTTGCATCTGGTGGCTTGTGCTACTTCACCGCATACTGTTCATCTACCAGCTGGACACAACTCCTCAGCCTTAGCTAGAAATGATTGCAAAGTTCAGAGGACCCAGCTGAAATACACTGAGCAATTTGACAGAACAAATACTGCTACGGTAGGTGGTTTTAGCTGTCTGTCTTTGTCCGTATGTCTGTGGCTATTCCAGAAGAAGATGAGCAGCATAATGTGAACTTTTTAATAAGGAAAACTTCCTTCTATTAATGAAATTGTGGAAAGATGAATCACCTAATTTAATTACAAGGAGCAATACTGCCTTCAGTAAGGTTTCTGACCCTGTATTTTAAATCAACAGACTGATTCTCCTGGAAGGAATCAAATTAGTGGCTCCTTGAAATATGGGTACTTGGTTATCGGCTGCCTTGAGTCAGGAGCAAGGGAAGGGTTGGGTCCCCAGGAGGTGCCTGTGCACATTTCAAAGCCTTTGCTTCTTACAGATAGAGGGATCCATGTACACCTCCTTGATAATCCTCTTTCCAATGGCTTTGCCAGTAGCATCCCATGGGATTCCATCCAAACCTTGTATCTGCTTCCACCATAGTTCAGCTGACAGCCTCTGTGCTGCTTCGCTACCACAGAGAGGAGCTGTTCGGCTAAGGATCATCCTCATCTGGACCACAGGAAAACAAATAGCAAACACGCTCATTTGCTTGGCTCAGCAATCCTGTTTATACTGATTCTGTCTAAAGTCTAAGCCTTAAAACATCTGGGTCTGTCAACTGCACAGCCAGACTTCTAGCAACTGGTTTTGCTTGTCATCCTTCTGTTCAGGACTACGTGCCATAGATGCTCAAATTACTCCATTTCTCAGCTGAAACACATGCTTTTTATCTACAGTTTCATGTTTTAATCTGATTTTATTGCAGCCTGCTGAGAACAGGGATGGTCCTGTTCCCCTACCCTGCCTCCAGTTGTGCTGCTACTTCCCTACTCAAGCTGGATTTAAGCATATCTACAGGGTGCATCAAAACAAATCACCTCTTGATTCAGTGGAAGACTGGTCTTTCCTTCTTTTTCCCTTTTTTTAAGTGGATCTTACTCTCTCTGGCACACTCGGTGAAGAAGTGAGATGCCTGTGTTCAATGAGATGCCCTTCCTGACAGAAATTCAAAACCTATGTAGTCCACCTGATAAAGAGCTCCAGGGTTATCCAGTTGCAATGCTATTCCACACTGGACTCTTCCTTTTTCTTACAACTCTGCCCCAGTGGAGCTGGATTTATGAGGGTAGAAAGAGTGAGCCATATGATAGCCAGACAGGGAGAGTTTTCTTTTGGTTCTGTAACTCACCTTGTAATCTACTGGCTAGGAGCCCAAGAGGAATCAGGACAGCCAGGCAATAGGACTTTCCCAAGCCCATAGCATAAACCTGTGGCAATGATGAGAGCTGGAGACTGCTGCTGTTTTCCCCTCTTCTGCTCTGCAGCCTCATACTCCTTGAGACTAAAATGTGTCATGAACAGAGAGCATTGCAGATGCTGTGGGGATATATTCTAAAATCTAAAGCTAAAATCTGTTTCCAATTAGGTCTCAAAAAGAAAAAAATCCATAGAAACATTGCTGTTTAGATTTGTTTTCTGACATCATCTGAACTCTCTGCCAAAATGCCTGAATATCTTTTTGTGTTTTTAATATTACTGTTTGTTTAGGTTACTTTTCATATACCTATGTAGTCATGCTTTGAAAATGTCTTCATTTATTTAGGAGTGTGTTTCAAAGAAATGCTTCAAAGTGATGACAGAAAGGGGTACTTAACTAAACAACCATGTTACACCCATTTTTATTTATCACTTACTAAGGCAAGATTCCTGGCAACTTACTGGGCAAAAGTGTAGGAAATTGTTTCATTTCTCTTAATGAATATCATTTTGTTAATTAGCTTCATTTTGTTTCTGCAACTTCTTTTTTTGTTTTTTTTTTTTTTGGTCTCGTCTCATCACTAATGGATTATATGATGGAGCAGCCAGTTAAAGGACTGGAGGACAGCCAAATGTCAGCTTCCAAGTCACAAGACATGGACCAGACTGCTAATCATCACATCCAAAGAAATCAAGCGCCCACATACAGTAGGATCACACTGCTTACTTTTAGTTTATCATGAGAAATATGTGTTGAAAATATTATTCTTTTCTCCTTGCAGGTACACATGTTGTTATTAGAGTTGTGAATGGTTGGGAGTGTCTTTGGGGTCTTTTCCTTCACAGCTGTACAAGCTGCTCTCTTAGAAATGGAAGTATTCATTCATAGCTACATGGGCTGTAGTAAATCAGGTTAATGGTGACTTTATAAATCTCACAGTCACTGGCACAAATCAACAGGCTTACATTATTCCAGGATCCAGCTTTGCCGTCTGTGACTCTTCTAAGAGGTGTGATTCATTGTGCAACAAGAACAAGACTACTGTAATGCAAGGATGAGGGAATCCATCTGAGCTGTGACATTGTAGTGGATGCTTTGACTGACTGCCAAAGGACCAACACATGAATTCCTACAAACTGGAATACTTATCCGGTGTTTTCTGTCTGTACCTAGCCCTCAGACAGATGAGCTGACAGTAGTCCAAAAGTTAATCTCCATTTGCCCAATACTTCAGTGTCCCCTATAGATGGTAAGAGGCACTACGAAATCTGAAATAGCTGCACAGGTTTCATGGCCAAATAGGTATGAGCCTCTGCTCTGACCTGGCCAAAGCAGAGGCCATATAAATCAGTGCCCTGGATCCTGCTTCTGTCTCAGGAATGTGGTTCTGAGTTGCAGGATGTGTGTTAGTGAGTTGTTTTATTATCAGGATGTCAGACTTTTTATTATCAAGATTTTGTTTTAATTACAAACTCATTTACAAGTTGTTTTTTTTCTGATTTTGTGCTACCCATCTCCTTGTTTCCTTCAGATGACTTGCTCTGGAAAAATGAGCAGCTGAGTTTCCAGGTAGAATTTCTAAAGATGGAATTAAAACAGCTTAACAGACTTCAGGAGACTGTGGCTCTTCTACAGGACAGCCAGAGGTATGGTACACAGCTTGCCACTATGTTTATTGCACTACTCACTGCCTTAGTACAAAAATTGGTGAATTCAAAGCTCTGGCGCATGAGCTGGTCCATAGCGAGTGCCTGAGTAGCCTCTTCTCAGCTGCCTCTATCAAGGGAAGTGGGAAGATACCACTGACCTGCAGGAGGAATTGGCTTCTGCAAGTATGTGTTGTAGGGAACAGGTACATGGATAAATATTTATAAAACTGTGTTGAATTTTGCAAATGCCTTCTAAGGGAAACACTGAAGTCCTCCACTGCCCTGTATTTTGCACCTCCTCCTCTGTTCTGCAACATGAGGTTAGTGGTGGGTTAGCTGCTGGTTTGCAGCAACCCCAGTCTCTCCCTGAGCCACCTCTGCAAGCCCAGGGTAGGCAGTGTGCTCTTCAGCTCAGCTTAACTTCTACTTATGAAATATTCATGCTCCTGGCTCAGAAAACATGCCTCAGTCCTTAATTAAGTACAAAAGACATTGCCACTAATCATCTCTGAGAGAGCTAAATGGCACACAGGTTGCATGGCTGACAAGTCTCATGTTGAACCCTTGGAGTGTTGCTCCAAGGAGGGCAAAATGATAATACGGTTTTGTTTTTATTATTAAAGCTGCACTATACAAACCGTGAACAAAGAGACAAACAATTATGGTTAAGTGTTCCAGGGCAAATAATAAATGATTGTTATCAAGCACTGCAAGGTTCATACAGCTGGAACTACTACAAATTTTTCAGCCAAGATATTAAAATGCCAATTTGATGAGTGAGTCTGATGAAAATCTAATTCTTTTAAAAGGTATCTCAGGTCAAAATCAGAGACAGGAGAATGCCTTTTGCAATCACAGTACGCCCTTGGTTTGCTTGCAGGTGTCTTAACACATACTGTTAGTCTCTAGAGCACCTTTTGAATGGTTACCATCAGATAACTATACCAATGTAAGCCAGTTATCTATGAAATCTTACAGTGAAGCACAGCTGTAGTTGACTTGAAATACAGAACTATAAATACAATTTTGACTTTTGAAGTGTGAATTTGAATAAATGGAAGTCAGTATATTAGGTTTGTAAACATCTTTCTAGGCTCACTCTGCTGTAGGCATAGCCACCACTTCCATCCTTTTTTTCTGCAACTATCTGCCCAGGTCTTTGCTGTCTACAAACAACTTCCTGATGCAACAGTTGAATAAAGAGAACAGTCCTGCTGTTCACAAAACACCTTTTCCTTCTGAAAGATGCACCGCTCGTGGGAGATCACCTCCTCTGGAAAGAACTGCTCCAGTACCCTCAGCGTACAGCTCTGGTCAGTACCGCAGTACAGAGCAGTTATGCAACTGTCCTCTCTAAAGGGAACCAAACAGACTTTAAGAATGGATTATGTTCAATTTTGTATTGACTGAAATGTCATGTGTGCATTTAAAGATGCTGAATCTAATATTTGCTTTTACTAAGTTCTTATCTTCCTACTTCTGCTTTCCTCCAAAGCCCTAAAGACATCCGAGTACTAGTGTTCTTGCATTTCTGTCACATTTATTTTATTAACAGAAATACGGGGATGAGCGTTGTATAATAAAATTCTCTCTGAAACCATGCCATGCTGGGAAGATGGTAATTCAGCTGATTTAATTCCCTCTAAATTTGAATTGAATCAATACCCCAGCATGGAGCTGCCAATATGTAACCAGAGGTGAAATATTGTAAGCCCTATGGTGAGAGCAGCAGCTCATGGCACTGACTGTGAGTATTTGAAGTTCTAGTCCCAGATTTCCATTTTTACTCCTGAGAAAGTGGTTGATCCACCAGGTCCTGGGCTGCTCTCTGAATCTTGCTGAACGCGCTTTGCTCTCTAGTGACTGCATTGGCCATCAGTCTTACAGTGAAAGAGAAAAGGACAGAAGAAGGAATTCAATTACAGTGAGATGAGGAAGCTGTGGGCTTGGCTCAAGGCCAGGGATCTGCATGGAAGCAGGGCAATTCAGAGTAGAAGGGATGCTCATTATGGAAGTGAATCCTGCCCTGTTGTGCCACCATCTGCAGCTCACATTTATGCTCGTGTGTGTGCCGTTCTTTCACTGCGTTCCTCTCCAAGCAGTGAGCAGGAGAGGAACAAAAGAGCAGGACATTTGCACCAGCAATGTCCATCCATTCTTCCTTGTGCTCCTGGGCAGGACAGAAAGGGTAAGTCCTCTATGACTTACGTGCTTGAAAAATTACCCCCAGGACTATTCACTCCTCCAGCTTCCCTGGGGTAGAATCAGAGCTGTTGGGCCTATAGGTGCATGCAAACTTAGAGCCAGGCAGATATCTCTTTCCTGGTCTTGATGTTCTGGTATCAAAAACGCATCAAATCTCAGTGCCAGTTTGTGAACTTCTAGGTCATTCAGCTAACAAAGCCCTTCTGCCCTTTGTGGAGATTTTGTAGCAAAATAAACCTGTGCTTTTCTGTCTTTGCCAGGAGCCCCATGTGCCCAAGCTTGTACTTAGGTATTCCCGCTGGCGGGAAGGCCCGGAGCATCCCTGCTCCCAGCATGCCGGGAGAGGCCGGAGGCAAGGGCTGCTGCCCAGCATATGTGGTCTCCAACGCTGTTGTGAGGCACAGGAGAGGTGGTGAGAGCCTGCAGGAGCTGCAGGAGGAGCAGGGCAGCCACAGCAGGGCCCAGAGCGCTCCTGCCTGGCCCCCTGTCGCAATCCAGCAGCTCCAGGTCTTTTTGGCGAGGGCAGGAAGTGCAAGAAGAGCTTTGGCATCTGAGCTGTGCCTTGCTCTGCTGCAGCAGCACTGCCCCAGTCCCCCAAGGGCTCCAGCAGCACCTGCAATTGCCTTTCACTGTGTACCCAGGGCTGTCCTGACGCGGGCATCCCCCTTCCACATCACCCAAGGTCCAGAGGGGAGCCCTAGGGTTGGTCTGAGGCGCCCTCGCACGCCCTGACGCGCTCGTCCCTTCACCAGACATTGCTGCCTGTTCAAGTGCTCCGCATCTGTGCGTGAGGACAGCAGGGCAGGATGGCACTTGCACTAATGACTAGGGAATGTGATGCTGCCTTGCCCTGGGAATTCTGCATCTCACAGCTGTATGGGGGCACTGGAGGTAGCAGGGAGTTAAGCCCCCAAGCACTGATTTTTTTAGAGAAGGAACAGTGTAAGCTGCAGTCTGGGCTGCAGAGGGGCATTTCAGAGAATCACTGAATGGTTGAGGTTGGAAGGGACCTCTGGAGATCATCTCCCTTCCCCACCAGGCATGAGCACTCTGGCTTGCTCAGAGAGGATAACCCTCTACGCCAGGTGCTCTTTCCTAGCCTAGTTTGTGAGCTGGGGTAAAACTGGAATAAAACAACTGTTTGGGTGGTCTGTTTTTTAAAAAGCAGGTGCAGGAGCTGCATGGCAAGGAGCTGGCAGGGGACCATGCAGTGAGTGAGTCCCAAGAGAGAAAGACATGTGTGTCCCGGGCACATCCCCTGCAGCTTGGGCCGATCACAGACGCTGTTCATTTGGCTCCTGTGCTGAGACACCTGCAAAATAACTTGAGCTAGGAACCCAGCCCCTAACAGGAGGGGACACAGAGCCAGATACCCAGCAGGGCTCTAGTTCAGAGCCCCCGCGGCCCAGCCCAGCCACCCCAGCAACATGTTCTTCCCGCTGCTCTGGCTCTTTGCCTGCACAGCGCGGCCACAGCGAGCGCCCAGCGCTCTGCCACAGCAGCCGTGCCCCTCAGCACCGCGGCCACCTCGCCCACATTGCCATGAGCTGCTGGTGGCAGCAAGCCCTGGCTCTGAGCAGGACCCGGTCCCGGGGCCTGTTACCAGGAACTCGTGTGTTTGGTTGCAAACAGAGCAGCAGCCGGAGCCAGGCGCTCACTGTTTGTGTCCTCCTGGTTGCTCAGGCAACTCGGGGACGGCCAAGAGCTCACCACAGCCATGAGCCATCGCAATGGAGCTCCATGGCACTGCTGGCTCAGGCAGCACTGCCAGCCAAGCCTCCCCACGCTGCTTGTGCCCACCACACAACCAGACCAACAGTGTCAGTACTAGCCGGGCTTTATTGCAGAGCCAGGTTACAGCACGGGGCTGCACAGTCCTTTGGCACAAGCTTCTCAAAGGCAGCAGGAAGCCTCGCAAGGGCTCGGGAGGCCTGTGGCAGCAGCAGAGGAACACGAAGCGCGGCACAGGCCGGCTCTCCCGGGGTGTGTGTTGGGCTCCCCGCATGTTCCCCAGCAGAGCATGTCCTGGAAGGGCCCTCTGGCACCAGCACTGACCATACCGTGCGCCTGGTGCTAACGCAAGCAGGAGAGCACAGCAAAGCCCGGCAGCAAGGGGACAGTGCGAGCAGGCAACAGTGGAGAAGAGAAGGCCATGGTGTCAGTATGGACAGGAACGCCCATCCCTGGAGGTCTGTAGGTAGGAAAGGCAGCGATCACCAGCCGGACTGGCAGGGAGAGCGCCCTGAGGGCCAGGGCTGAGGTAGGGAAGGCTTCGGTGCCAGCAGGGCACAGGAAGCCCCGAGGAGTGTTGTTAGTATAGCGGGAGCTGCCCCAATGGAGGGCAGGAGGGGAGAGGGCCCGTTAGTACCAGCAGGAGGGACACGGCTCACAATACAGCACGGATACACGTAGTTGTCAGGGCAGAGCGCACGGCCCGGCGACCTTCTAATCACATCAGCGCTGGGCGACCAGCAGCCCAGCAGCCTGGGGCCCAGCCCAGCACTGCCCCCAGGGCCCTCGAGCACAAGGGCACGTTGCAAGGCTGACATGACTGCAGCCCCGAAGGCCTGGTGTGCAGGGCCGGGGCGGGTGGGTGCCATGGGCAGCCATCCCTACTTCTTCACTTTGGCATCATAGGTGCCTGCGTTCTTGTAGGCACTGACGTAGCCGCTGGTATCCACGATGTTCTCTCGGCCGCTCTTGCCTTTGCCCTTGCCGCTCTCGTCGAAGCGCTCCTTGTGGGAGCCCGTGTACTTGGAGGTGTCCGTCAGTCTCTCCACGGCTCCCACGTTCTTGGCTTTCTGCAGCAGCAAGATGAGCCAAGGGAGTCAAACAACGTGGCTTCCCCTGGCCCCCATTCCCTCCTCCTTTGCCCCATGCGAGTCCAAGACCCACTGGGGATCCCATCATCCCCCTGGTACCCACTGGACCTGTGTAATCCCCTTCTCCAGTCCCCTCTTCGTGGGAGGGGGAGTCTGGGACAGATGCCCAAGTTCTACCCAGGACCAGGGGTCTCCCCAGCACAGCGTTGGTGTGCCAGATACAGCCCCATCCTCCCCTCACAACCAATCCAGGGACCGAGGCGCTCTGGCACTCACAGTGACGCCTACGTTGACTGGCTCCTTCCCTGCCACCAGCTGGCAGATAGCTTCATACGCCTCCTCTTTGCTTTTGTCCTTAAATCTCTTCGGTGCCAGCTCCTCCAGCGCCTTCTTGAACTCCTCGTAGTTGATGACACGGGCGGTCTTCCCTCTGCAAGCACAGGGGCCAGGCCCTGAGCTCCCGCAAGCTCCTCCTCAGGCTGCACCTCTGCAGCCTCCAAGGAGGTCCCGGCTTTTCCTTCCCCCAGCAGAGCATTTTGAGGCCCCTCACCCACCCCTAAAAGGGAGCTATCTCCAGGGCACTCTTGGCAGGAGTCAGGCCCAGGACAGCAGACGCTGGGCTTCAGCAGTGGATCAGCCATATGGTGTCCAAATCCCTGGGGTCAAAACCTCAGCACTCGAAGGAAGTGCCCTGGGGCCTGTGTGCTGGGAAGAGGGGGGGCTCCTCTCTTGCAACTCGCTCTCTTAAATACTGTATCAGCTGAAGTCATCCTGGTGTTGAGGCCCTCTTAGTTGAGCCAGAGAAGAGGAGGACACTTGAGCACATGATGCAGAAACAATGACGGGTGGAGAACCAGCTGCCTCCACTGGGATCCCTCTCCAGGGCCCCCACCTTGAGCTGTGGCACTGATCAGGTTACTGCTCTGAGAGGCACCTGAAGAGTTGGATCCCTTCCTTGTAGCAGAGCTTTTAGCCACAACTGCTCCAGCTGCCATGTCCCTCTCTGTGGCTCATGTGGACATCACCTTCCCAGCACAGCTGGCCCCAGCTGGGAGGTCCAAGTGATCCATGGAGCAGCATCAGGTGTCCATGAGACCCAGAAAGCAGCCCCAAGCACCCTTCCTGCTCTGGGACCATACAGGGAGGTGAAGAGGGAAGGAGCAGAACTCCTCACCCAGTACAGGTGTGGGCTGCTAGGAGCCAAGGACAGGCTGTGCCCCATCCATAAGGGCCACAGGGGCTGCAAGGGCACTGAGCAGCAACCTGACTAGGATGAGCTCTACCTGGAGACATAAGCTAGGAAAAGGCAAGAGCTGGTGGGCAACAGGCCCAGCTAGATGGAGAAAGCGGGAATGACTCGGCCAACGCCTAGTGCACTGCAGGCTGCAGCAGCAACTGCAGCGGCGCA